TAAAGTTATTATACATAGTGTAAATTACCTAGGATAACCCAAAAATTTCAGGCAAAGATAGACAGACAGATAGATAGACAGACAGACAGACAGACAGACAGACATGTTTGTGTGTATCAGTGAAAACAAATAAAGCCAGGGTTCCCCCAGCACCCATTTATCAAATGTCACTGAGCTGATAATAGATGTCATAACACCATTCTTCACGGAGTGATATACGTATACTCCAGGTAGACTGAAAGACAGATAAGCAGAGACAGAGAGACCGGCAGACAGATAGATAGACAGGCAGACAGGTAGATAGACAGGCAGACAGACAAATAGACAGACAGACAAATAGACAGATAAACAGGCAGATAGACAGACAGATAAACAGACAGAGACAAGTCATGTTTGTGTGTAACAGTGATAACAAATACAGCAAGGGTTAGCTGGAGCAGTGGGCATTTATCAAATGTCACTGGACTGTCAACAGTATAGGGATGCCTTTCATAACAACATGCTTCAAAGTATATGCCAGGGTATCTAAAACACTGCTGGAACCTATAAATATATACTTTGTATATATTTCTAGACAATAAAAAATAACCCAGGCAGGTGTAAATGTTCACCTATCACTGTGATTGTGACTATTTGAGCACTATTTCAGTACCTAATATTAGTGTCAGAACAAAGATTGGCTATGAAATTACAAGAACTATTATAAATTATATAAATATATATAAATTATATAATATATAAATTAAAATAAAAACGAGAAAAAAATGTATATCGGCAACACTTCTGCAAGCAGCAGGAGTCTATGTTGCGGTCAGGTGAGCATCCAGAGCCAACTTCACGGTCTTATATCTCGGTAAGTACTGACCCTAAAAAATTTTTTTAATCCTATAACATGTAGAAAAATGTGCTCTTCATTTTAAAAGAAAAAAACAATCTTTTTATTTTTCAAAATATTTGGAGCGCCACGCGAGTGAACGTAGATCTACGTTTGGACAGTTTAAGGGTTAAATGTTGATGAAGATAGGGAAGCTGTGATTTCATGTATAGGGTGAGGAGGAATGCATCTTTTAAGAGTGAGGAAGAGCTAGTTGTGAATGTGGGGAAAGTTCATGAGGCAGTGGGTAGAATGAAAGGGGTAAGGCAGCTGGGATTGATGGGATAAAGATAGAAATGTTAAAAGCAGGTGGGGATATAGTTTTGGAGTGGTTGGTGCTTTTATTTACTAAATGTATGGAAAGAAGAGTGTGCAAAAGAGAGTGCAAAAATTATAGGGGAATAAGTTTGTTGAGTTATAGGTAGTAGGTTGGTAGACAGCAACTGCCCAGGGAGATACTACCATCCTGTTAAGTGAGTGTAAAACAAAAGCCTGTAATTGTCTTACATGATGGTAGGATTGCTGGTGTCTTTTTTTCTGTCTCATATACATGCAAGATTTCAGGTACGTCTTGCTACTTCTACTTACACTTAGGTCACACTACACATACATGTACAAGCATATATATACACACCCCTCTGGGTTTTCTTCTATTTTCTTACTAGTTTTTGTTCTTGTTTATTTCCTCAAATCTCCATGAGGAAGTGGAACAGAATTCTTCCTCTGTAAGCCATGCATGTCATGCATGGCGACTAAAATGCCGGGAGCAAGGGGCTAGTAATCCCTTCTCCTGTATACATTACTAATGTTAAAAAGAAACTTTCTGTTTTTTCTTTTTGGGCCACCCTGCTTCGGTGGGATATGGCCGGTTTATTAAAAGAAAAGAAGTCTGTTGAGTATACCTGGTAAAGTGTATGGTAGTTATTATTGAAAGAATTAACAGTAAGATGGAGAGTAGGATAGCAAATGAACAAGGAGGCTTTAGGAAAGGTAGGGGGTGTGTAGACCAAGTGTTTACCCTGAAACATATAGGTGAACAGTATTTAGATAATGAAGGGGGGGGAATGTGGCAGATATTGTAAATGTAGTGAAGAGTTTTTACGAGGATTGTGAGGCTCAGGTTAGAGTACATAGGAGAGAGGGAGATTATTTCCCAGTAAATGTAGGCCTTAGACAATGATGTGTGATGTCACTATGGTTGTTCAATATATTTATAGATTGGTTTGTAAAAGAAGTGAATGCTCAGATGTTGGCAAGAGGTGTGAGGTTAAAAGATAAAGAATCTAACACAAAGTGGGAGTTGTTACAGTTACTCAGTGCTGATGACACTGCTTTTGGGAGCTTCTGAAGAGAAGCTGCAGAGGTTGGTGGATGAGTTTGGTAGGGTATGCAAAAGAAAAAAATTAAAAGTAAATATAGGAAAGAGTAAGGTGATGAGGACAACAAAAAAATTAGGTAACGAAAGATTGGATATCAGATTGGAGGGAGAGAGTATGAAGGAGGTGAATGTTTTCAGATATTTAGGAGTAGACATGTTATCAGATGGGTCGATGAAAGATGAGGTGAATCATAGAATTGATGAGGGAAAAAGGTGAGTGATTTACTTAGGAGTCCATGGAGACAAAGATCTTTGTCCATGGAAGCAAAAAGGGGAATGTATGAGAGTATAGTTATTCCAACGCTCTTGTATGGGTGTGAGGCACGGGTGGTGAATGTTGCAACAAGAAAAAGGCTGGAGGCAGTGGAGATGTCATGTCTGAGGACAGTGTGTTGTGTGAATATAATGCATAGAATTCGTAGTTTGGGAATTAGGAGGTGTGGTATTACCAAACCTATTTTCCAGAGCGTTGAGGAGGGGTTGTTGAGGTGGTTCAGACATGTAGAGAGGACAGAATTAAATAGATTGACTTCGAGAGTGTATAAATTTGTAGGGAAGGAAAGGTGGGGTAGGGGTAGGCCTAGGAGAGGTTGGAGGGGGGGTACAGGAGGTTTTGTGTGTGAGGGACTTGGACTTCCAGCAAGTATGCGTGAGTGTGTTAGATAGGAGTGAATGGAGGCAAATGGTTTTTAGGATTTGACTTGCTGATAGAGTGTGAGCATATTAACATTTATAAAGGGATTCAGGGAAACTGGGAGGCCGGACTTGAGTCCCGGAGATAGGAAGTACAGTGCCTGCACTCTGAAGGAGAAGTGTTAATGTTGCAGTTTTACAACTGTAGTGTAAGCACACCTCTGGCAAGACAGTGATGGAGTGAATGATGATGAAAGTTTTTCTTTTTCAGGCCACCCTGCCTTGGTGGGAGACAGCTGATGTGTTAATAATAATAATAATAATAAATTATAACTTGTAAGTTTTGAGAATGAAAGAGTGAAGATTGATTCACAATATTTCAGTTTTTTTTTTTTTTTTTTTTTAAGTAGTATAGTATAAGTGACAAGGGGTGAAGTGATATATAGCCAAAGGTGATCCTTATTAGTACAGTGTTGTACCTCCATGGTACAGTATATGATAAAGCCTTTTGTACATGAAGCATTGTACTTATGAAGGTTTTCTTTTGTTGAGTCTTTTTTAACAAGATTTTAGCCGAGTCTTAATTATTGTACCAGTTCACAATTAACACACGCTGGAGAAGAATCTAGATGACATTTTGGCTCATCCTGGACTTATCATTTCATAACTGAGAACAAAAATGGTTAGAAAACCAGAAGACAGGTGAAGAAAGAGGTTTTCTTCCTATTTTCTTTGTCAGTCCAGGACTGACTGAAACATCATCTGTAACTCCTTGTATTAATTGTAACTCCTAAATTTATACTTACACACACCTATAAAGTAAAATATTAATGGGCACCCTGCCTCGGTGGGAGACGGCCGACTTGTTGAAAAAAAAAAAATTAATGGGCTTTCTGCCTGAGGACCCCACTGGAAAAAGTCACTCTGTCTGACTTCTTTGGGTCATCCTAGGTTCTCTACACATATGCTGCTGTGTATGATAACTATGTAACTATTTGTGTATACCTGAATAAACTTACCTACTTAGGTACTTGCATGCACACCTAAATGTCATTTACCTTTGTAGAATCATTGTATCATGCTGAAATAAAAGTGTTATTATTATTATTATTTTTATTATTTTCTAGTTACATCTCTAAAGTGTGGGTTAATTGTCCAGTGTTCCAGCCATGGCACTGTGACATTACTATTTATTTTATCCATTTATTAGGTTTATAATGTATTCTTTTTTCTTTAGGATTTCAGGAGACACACATAATTACAGAACTTAAAGATGGCAACTTAGTTCTTCGACTTTTACTGGATGGACCTGAGGAAACATTCACAGTTAAGGGCTTGTCATTAACTGATGGTGATCCACATCTTCTTCATGTAAGTATTTTAATTTAACAGAGTTTTAAACATGATATATCGCTTTTGCAATACTGTTAAGTACAAATTACTTATTGTATCATACGCATGACAAGTATTTTGTCCAAACAGGTGAAGAGGATTGGTAACGAGCTAGAAGTAAATGTGGACAACAAGTTAGTGCTCAATACAACCTTGACATATAGTGGTGACCTTAGGGCTCAGGTTCTATACCTTGGTGGTATTCCCGAGACCACTTCAGAAATAACTGACACTACTTCACGAAGGACCAAGCGGCAGCTTGGTGTCACCAATTTTACTACAACTGTAACTCGGCCACACTTTAAAGGAACGTTGCAAGATATTAGGGTGAGTGTTTACCACTTTTTGGTTTGAAAACTCTTGATATGCAATATTGTTCTTCTAAAGTTTGCTTTAATACAGCCTCTCCTCACTTAATGATGGAATTCCATTCCTAACACCACATTGGTAAACGATTCGTCTCTAAATGAGGAGCATACTATAATGGTAGTGGGTTTGTGTCACCCATCTTTGATATTGTTTTAATGTCACCTTTGCACCATTTATAACATTTTAAGTATATTTTTAAATATTTATACAGTAGCGTACTGTATGTTATAATAAACAGAATAGAGGCTATCAGCTCTAATATACATTACTTACGTATGCATACTAGTCAGAGAGCCTGTCGTAAGTCCAAGTCTTCGGTAAACTAGTACGCCGCTAAGTGAAAAGAGGCTCTATACAGCCTAATCACTTAACGACGGATTTGTGTCAACCATCTTTGATATTGTTTTAATGTCACCTTTGCATCATTTTTTACATTTCTGGTATATATTTAAATGTTTTACAGTAGTTTACTGTACTGTATTGTAATAAGCAGAAAAGAAGAAATCAGCTCTAATATACATTATTTAGGCATGCATACTTGTCAGAGAGCTCATCGTATGTTTGAGTTGTCAGTAAACAAGTACGTTGCTAAGTGTAGAGAGGCTGTATTATATATTTTTTTGTTAAAATCTCACTGGATTCCTTTTAAGTTATGTAGATTGAATCTAAGAAAAGTATCATCCGACCTCAGTGGGAGGCGTCCAGTGTAGCTTAAAAAAAATCGTCATGCCATTCCTTGAGTAACTTTGTAACTTCTGCTTCTCTGTTTGACTCTGTTTCACATTGAATGAACCTTTGTAGTTTCACTAAGCATTGAAAAAAGTTAATATTGTATTGTGATATTAATATTATTGAAGAAAATTATTTTTTTTTTTTTCAACAAGTCGGTCGTCTTCCACCGAGGCAGGGTGACCCAAAAAAGAAAGAAAATCCCCAAAAAGAAAATACTTTTGTCATCATTCAACACTTTCACCACACTCACACATTATCACTGCTTTTGCAGAGGTGCTCAGAATACAACAGTTTAGAAGCATATACGTATAAAGATACACAACATATCCCTCCAAACTGCCAATATCCCAAACCCCTCCTTTAAAGTGCAGGCATTGTACTTCCCATTTCCAGGACTCAAGTCCGACTATATGAAAATAACCGGTTTCCCTGAATCCCTTCACTAAATATTACCCTGCTCACACTCCAACAGATCGTCAGGTCCCGAGTATCATTCGTCTCCATTCACTCCTATCTAACACGCTCATGCACGCTTGCTGGAAGTCCAAGCCCCTCGCCCACAAAACCTCCTTTACCCCCTCTTTCCAACCCTTTCGAGGACGACCCCTACCCCTCTTTCCTTCCCCTATAGATTTATATGCTTTCCATGTCATTCTACTTTGGTCCATTCTCTCTAAATGACCAAACCACCTCAACAACCCCTCTTCTGCCCTCTGACTAATGCTTTTATTAACTCCACACCTTCTCCTAATTTCCACACTCCGAATTTTCTGCATAATATTTGCACCACACATTGCCCTTAGACAGGACATCTCCACTGCCTCCAACCATCTCCTCGCTGCTGCATTTACCACCCAAGCTTTACATCCATATAAGAGTGTTGGTACTACTATACTTTCATACATTCCCTTCTTTGCCTCCATAGATAATGTTTCTTGACTCCACATATACCCCAACGCACCACTCACCTTTTTTCCCTCATCAATTCTATGATTAACCTCATCCTTCATAAATCCATCCGCCGACACGTCAACTCCCAAGTATCTGAAAACATTCACTTCTTCCATACTCCTCCTCCCCAATTTGATATCCAATTTTTCTTTATCTAAATCATTTGATACCCTCATCACCTTACTCTTTCCTATGTTCACTTTCAACTTTCTACCTTTACACACATTCTCAAAACTCATCCACTAACCTTTGCAATTTTTCTTTAGAATCTCCCATAAGCACAGTATCATCAGCAAAAAGTAACTGTGTCAATTCCCATTTTGAATTTGATTCCCCATAATTTAATCCCACCCCTCTCCCGAACACCCTAGCATTTACTTCTTTTACAACCCCATCTATAAATATATTAAACAACCATGGTGACATTACACATCCCTGTCTAAGACCTACTTTTACCGGGAAGTATTCTCCCTCTCTTCTACACACCCTAACCTGAGCCTCACTATCCTCATAAAAGCTCTTTACAGCATTTAGTAACTTAGCACCTTTTCCATATAGTACTTGCAACATCTGCCACATTGCTCCTCTATCCACTCTATCATATGCCTTTTCTAAATCCATGAATGCAATAAAAAACTTCCCTACCTTATACTAAATACTGTTCACATATATGCTTCAATGTAAACACTTGATCTACACATCCCCTACCCACTCTGAAGCCTCCTTGCTCATCCGCAATTCTACATTCTGTCTTACCTCTAATTCTTTCAATTATAACCCTACCGTATACTTTTCCTGGTATACTCAGTAAACTTATTCCTCTATAATTTTTACAATCTCTTTTGTCCCCTTTCCCTTTATATAAAGGGACTATACATGCTCTTCGACAATCCCTAGGTACCTTCCCCTCTTTTATACATTTATTAAACAAAAGTACCAACCACTCCAACACTATATCCCCCCCTACTTTTAACATTTCTGTCATGAGCCCATCAGTTCCAGCTGCTTTACCCCCTTTCATTCTACGTAATGCCTCACGTACCTCCACCACACTTACATTCTGCTCTTCTTCAGTCCTAAAAGATGGTATACCTCCCTGGCCAGTGCATGAAATTACCGCCTAACTTTCTTCCTCAACATTTAAAAGTTCCTCAAAATATTCTCGCCATCTACCTAATACCTCCCTCTCCCCATCTACTAACTCCCCTACTCTGTTTTTAACTGACAAATCCATACTTTCCCTAGGCTTTCTTAACTTGTTTAACTCACTCCAAAATTTTTTCTTATTTTCATTAAAATTTCTTGTGCCTCTCCCACTCTTTCATCTGCTCTCCTTTTGCACTCTCTCACCATTCTCTTCACCTTTCTTTTACTCTCCATATACTCTGCTCTTCTTATAACACTTCTGCTTTGTAAAAACCTCTCATAAGCTACCTTTTTCTCTTTTATCACACCCTTTACTTCATCATTCCACCAATCACTCCTCTTTCCTCCTGCCCCCACCCTCCTATAACCACAAACTTCTGCCCCACATTCTAATACTGCATTTTTAAAACTATTCCAACCCTCTTCAACCTCCCCACTACTCATCTTTGCACTAGCCCACCTTTCTGCCAATAGAAAATTATTTAGAAATACTAAAATAAATTTTCTTTGTGTGTAGAGGGTAACAATATTGTTTTGATTATGATTACCTTATGTGGCTGTATTGCACCTAATTCACAACAACTTTTGTATTTTAAAAAAATCTTTCAAGTCAAAAATCTTGGAAGTCAGGTATTGATCTCTCGTATTATTTTCCAGCTGAGCAATGGGACGGAAACTAGACTAGTACAGCCTTTCCCTCTGCAAAATGTGACTGCTGCAATCTTACCTGGTGAAAATATTCAGGGAGTAAATGTCTTCCATGTTTTGGAAGGAACAGTCAGCGATGACACGTGTACTCCTGATCCATGTAAAAATAGTGCCACCTGCAGAGTAACATGGAATGACTTTGTGTAAGTAATCTTACTGCATTTGAGTAGTAGCTAAACTTCAGTATTTCCTTATTGTACATATATGTATGACTGGTTAGCCGGACTTGAGCCCTGGAGGTAGGAAGTACGGTGCTTGCACTCTGAAGGAGAGGTTTGAGATATTTGCTGTTTGAAGGGACATCTGGACTCTCGTATCTGTATGCCTCTGACAAGACAGTGATAGTGTGAATGTTGGTGAAAGTGTTTCTTTTTTGGGTCACCCTGCCTCAGAGGGAGACGGCCAGCATGTTAAAAAATATATAAAGTTCACAGTACTCGCATTGAAATTAGAGTAATTATTTATTTGCTTATAGAAAAGGGATGGGGGGGAAAAGAGATGCATCTTTTGGGTCTGTCTCGTAACTTCATACTGACCGATGAAAAAGTTAGCAATATTGTATGGTATATATTTACATTTTGCAAGGAGGTTTTAGAGTGGGTAGGGGATGTGTAGATCAAGTGTTTACATTGAAGCATATATGTGAACAGTATTTAGATAAAGGTAGGGAAGTTTTTATTGCATTTATGGATTTAGAAAAGGCATAGGGGAGCAATGTGGCAGATGTTGCAGGTATATGGAATAGGTGGTAGGTTACTAAATGCTGTAAAGAGTTTTTATGAGGATAGTGAGGCTAAGGTTAGGGTGTGTAGAAGAGAGGGAGAATACTTCCTGGTAAAAGTAGGTCTTAGACAGGGATGTGTAATGTCACCATGGTTGTTTAATATATTTATAGATGGGGTTGTAAAAGAAGTAAATACTAGGGTGTTCGGGAGAGGGGTGGGATTAAATTATGGGGAATCAAATACAAAATGAGAATTGACACAGTTACTTTTTGTTGGTGATACTGTGCTTATGGGAGATTCTAAAGAAAAATTGCAAGGTTAGTGGACGAATTTGGGAGAGTGTGTAAAGGTAGAAAGTTGAAAGTGAACATAAAAAAGAGTAAGGTGATGAGGGTATCAAATGAATTAGATAAAGAAAAATTGGATATCAAATTGGGGAGGAGGAGTATGGAAGAAGTGAATGTTTTCAGATATTTGAGAGTTCACGTATCGGCGGATGGATTGATGAAGGATGAGGTTAATCATAGAATTGATGAGGGAAAAAAGGCGAGTGGTGCGTTGGGGTATATGTGGAGTCAAAAAACGTTATCTATGTAGGCAAAGAAGGGAATGTATGAAAGTATAGTAGTACCAACACTCTTGCATGGGTGTGAAGCTTGGGTTGTAAATGCTTCAGCGAGGAGGAGGTTGGAGGCAATGGAGATGTCCTGTCTAAGGGCAATGTGTGGTGTAAATATTATGCAGAAAATTCGGAGTGGAAATTAGGAGAAGGCGTGTAGTTAATAAAAGTATTAGTCAGATGGCTGAAGAGGGGTTGTAGATGTGGTTTGGTCATTTAGAGAGAATGGATCAAAGTAGAATGACATGGAGAGCGTATAAATCTGTAGGGGTAGGGGTCGTCCTTGAAAAGGTTGGAAGGAAGGGGTAAAGGAGGTTTTGTGGGCGAGGGACTTGGACTTCCAGCAAGCGTGCATGAGCATGTTCGATAGGAGTGAATGGAGACGAATGGTATTTGGGACCTGACGAGCTGTTGGAGTGTGAGCAGGGTAATATTTAGTGAAGGGATTCAGGGAAACCAGTTATTTTTATATAGCTGGACTTGGGTCCTGGAAATGGGAAGTACAATGCCTGCATTCTAAAGGAGGGGTTCGGGATATTGGCAGTTTGGAGGGATATGTTGTGTATCTTTATACGTATATGCTTCTAAGCTGTTGTATTCTGGGCACCTCTGCAAAAACAGTGATTATGTGTGAGTGAGGTGAAAGTGTTGAATAATGATGAAAGTATTTTCTTTTTGGGGTACTTCTTTCTTTTTGGGTCACCCTGCCTCGGTGGGAGATGGCCGACTTGTTAAAAAAAAAAAAAAATTACGTTTGATCCCTGCATAAAGGTAGTTTCTACTGTGTCTTTGTTTCCTTAACTCTACTTTATTAAGTGTTCCTCAGTATCCTGACTAAGTTGCTTGCACAGTTTCAACTAATATTCCTTTGTACCCAATCCTAAAGTAGTAAAAATGGCTGTAAGAGAGAGTGTGAAGTAAATTTAAACTACTCATTAGTGAAAGAGGAATGCAAGGAAATTAAGGGTAACCATATTGGGAGATCTCATGCTTAAGGAACATAATACTGTATTTTTTTTTTTTTTTTTTTATTATCACACTGGCCGATTCCCACCAAGGCAGGGTGGCCCGAAAAAGAAAAACTTTCACCATCATTCACTCCATCACTGTCTTGCCAGAAGGGTGCTTTACACTACAGTTTTTAAACTGCAACATTAACACCCCTCCTTCAGAGTGCAGGCACTGTACTTCCCATCTCCAGGACTCAAGTCCGGCCTGCCGGTTTCCCTGAATCCCTTCATAAATGTTACTTTGCTCACACTCCAACAGCACGTCAAGTATTAAAAACCATTTGTCTCCATTCACTCCTATCAAACACGCTCACGCATGCCTGCTGGAAGTCCAAGCCCCTCGCACACAAAACCTCCTTTATCCCCTCCCTCCAACCCTTCCTAGGCCGACCCCTACCCCGCCTTCCTTCCACTACAGACTGATACACTCTTGAAGTCATTCTGTTTCGCTCCATTCTCTCTACATGTCCGAACCACCTCAACAACCCTTCCTCAGCCCTCTGGACAACAGTTTTTGGTAATCCCGCACCTCCTCCTAACTTCCAAACTACGAATTCTCTGCATTTATATTCACACCACACATTGCCCTCAGACACGACATCTCCACTGCCTCCAGCCTTCTCCTCGCTGCAACATTCATCACCCACGCTTCACACCCATATAAGAGCGTTGGTAAAAACTATACTCTCATACATTCCCCTCTTTGCCTCCAAGGACAAAGTTCTTTGTCTCCACAGACTCCTAAGTGCACCACTCACTCTTTTTCCCTCATCAATTCTATGATTCACCTCATCTTTCATAGACCCATCCGCTGACACGTCCACTCCCAAATATCTGAATACGTTCACCTCCTCCATACTCTCTCCCTCCAATCTGATATTTCAATCTTTCATCACCTAATCTTTTTGTTATCCTCATAACCTTACTCTTTCCTGTATTCACCTTTATTTTCTTCTTTTGCACACCCTACCAAATTCATCCACCAATCTCTGCAACTTCTCTTCAGAATCTCCCAAGAGCACAGTGTCATCAGCAAAGAGCAGCTGTGACACTCCCACTTTGTGTGTGATTCTTTATCTTTTAACTCCACGCCTCTTGCCAAGACCCTCGCATTTACTTCTCTTACAACCCCATCTATAAATATATTAAACAACCACGGTGACATCACACATCCTTGTCTAAGGCCTACTTTTACTGGGAAATAATTTCCCTCTTTCCTACATACTCTAACTTGAGCCTCACTATCCTCGTAAAAACTCTTCACTGCTTTCAGTAACCTACCTCCTACACCATACACTTGCAACATCTGCCACATTGCCCCCTATCCACCCTGTCATACGCCTTTTCCCAATCCATAAATGCCACAAAGACCTCTTTAGCCTTATCTAAATACTGTTCACTTATATGTTTCACTGTAAACACCTGGTCCACACACCCCCTACCTTTCCTAAAGCCTCCTTGTTCATCTGCTATCCTATTCTCCGTCTTACTCTTAATTCTTTCAATTATAACTCTACCATACACTTTACCAGGTACACTCAACAGACTTATCCCCCTATAATTTTTGCACTCTCTTTTGTCCCCTTTGCCTTTATACAAAGGAACTATGCATGCTCTCTGCCAATCCCTAGGTACCTTACCCTCTTCCATACATTTATTAAATAATTGCACCAACCACTCCAAAACTATATCCCCACCTGCTTACCCACCTGTATTACCATCACAAATTGTTAGGCTGGATAAACAGGAAATGCAATTAATGATATTCAGGCACTCATTGCCCTTATGATTTCAATCACCTATATTATTAGGAATGCTTAAAATATCTCAAATCATGCTTTCTGAAGTGATGGTGAGAAAGATTAAAAATGTCATATTTGTATGTTTTAAATGTTGCAGCAAAGAGAAGGCTGGAGGAAGTGGCAATGTGTGTGGTGTGAATATTGTGCAAAGAATTCAGAGCATATAATTAAAATGGTGTTGGGTTATGAAAGGTATTATTCAGAGGTAGAGAAGGAGTTGCTTATGGGATGGAGGGATGGAGTAGAATAGGATGAACAAGAGGGTGTATAAATCGGGGGTGGAGGGATAAACTATTTTAAGGATCTGATGTGCTCTGGGAGTGTGAGCAAGGTAACATTCACGAAGTGATATGAGGAAACTAGTTAGCCAGATTAGAGTGCTGGAGGTGGAAAATACAATGCTTGCACTATAGAGGAATAGGGATGTTACAGTTGAAGGGTCATTTGAATTGTGATGTCTGTGCACTTTGGCAAGACAGCTGTTGAATGAATAATGGTGAATGCTGCTTTTTTGGAGGGTCAGAATACTTTGATGGGAAACAGTCATTGAAGTAATAAAAATGTATTTTCTATCTAGAAATATCTGAGGTACAGAGGGTCACAACATGTATGTATTTATTAACTATTGTAATATTTCAGATGCTCCTGTACCATTGGATTCAAAGGAAAAACCTGCGAGGATCGAGAATACTGTGCTATATATGACTGCCCAGAAGGATCACAATGTATTAACCTGGATGATGGTTATGAATGTCTTGCAAATTTGACACTAAATGGTGTAAACTCTTCTATCAGCTATTCTCCAAGGTTTATAAATCCCCCGGACAAAATTACAGATGTTTCCCTGGAGTATCGAAGTCAAGTTAGTTTTCATTATATTTATGTATAATATATCATGGTGGAATTTTTTAAATATAGTCATCCTCTGCTGAACAAATGAGATGGTTTCCACAAAGTAACATTTCTTGTAACAGCACATATCTCCTTTAACATTGTAATTTGTTTATAAGTTTCTGATAAAATTCTCCTTTACACAATGAATCATGATTCAAAGTTAATATTTTTTGTATGTTTTTCAGGTTGGTGGTGTGATATTTTGGGCAGCTGGAGTTGATGCTAGTGTTTGGATTGGGTTAAGCCAAAGTTCAGTTGTAGTACATCAGGCTAATGGCTCTGAATCTATGAGTGCTTCCTTTATTTCTAACTCTACTTTGGATGGCAACTGGCACAAAGTGTTCATTTCTTTTGATCATACAGGCCTTCAGGTAAAAAATAAAAATCTGTTCTTCCTCAGTTCTTGTTATACTTCAGAATACTTGAGAGCATAAACTTTCCCAGTGTGTATTGTAAATTGTAATAATTTTTTGTCAGTCCACCCTTCATGAGAAATATAGTACAGATCAGCCATCACTGATCCGGCAGTCAGTTATCCGGTTCCATCAGTAATCTGGCACTAATTTCAGGTAGCATAATTTAAAACTTCCAGGGTTGCCACACCAACTTGCTGGTACTGTTTGGTGGCACTACTTGCTGCATAAGTCATTTCAATTTCTTTTTCTTCATTTAGTGTTACAACCTGCTCACTTTTAGTCCTAGCCATGGTTCCAACGAATAAAAGAAATGCTTCTTGTTGTGTAAAGCACCTACACTGTACATTGTAAATAGAAGATAAGGTAGCTTTGAAGCCACTGTCAGTTGTTATGAGCTCCTGAGTCTTGTGATGTTTACCTGGAGAAGGTTTCGGGGATCAACGCCCCCGCGGCTCAATCTGAGACCAGGCCTCACGGTAGATCAGGGTCTGATCAACTAGGCTGTTACTACTAGCCGCACGCAAGTTGATGCACAAACCACAGCCCGGTTTGTCAGGTACTGACTTTAGGTGCCTGTCCAGTGCCTTCTTCAAGACAGCCAGGGGTCTATTGGTAATCCCCCTTATGTAGGCTGGGAGGCAGTTGAACAGTCTTGGACCCCAGACACTTATTGTGTTCTCTCAGTGTACTCGTTGTGCCCCTGCTTTTCATTGGGGGAATGTTGCATCTCCTGCTGAGTCTTTTGCTTTCATAGGGAGTGATTTTCGTGTCCAGGTTTGATACCAATCCCTCCAGGACCTTCCAAGTGTATATTATCATGTATCTCTCTTGCCTGCATTCCAGGGAATATAGATCAAGGACCTTCAACTGTTCCCAGTAATTTAGATGCCTTATCATGCTTATATGTGCCGTGAAAGTTCTTTGTACACCCTCCAGGTCTACAATGTCGCCAGCCTTGAAGGGGACCGTTAGTGTACAGCAGTATTCCAGGGTAGAGAGCAAAAGCAATTTGAAGAGAATCATCACGGGTTTGGTGTCCCTAGTTTTCAAGGTTCTCATTATCCATTGTTGTGGTCTTTGAAGGCGAGGTCCTCTAACATTATCACTCCCAGGACCTTCACATTACTTTTCCGCTCTATTGTATGGCTAGAATTTGTCGTATACCCTGATACATTTTCAATTTCCTCAAGTTTCCCATATCTGAGTACTTGAAATTTCTCCTCGTTGAACTTCATATTGTTTTGAGTGGCCCATTCGAAGATTTGGTTGATGTTCGCTTGGAGTCTCGCGGTGTCTTCGATGGAAGTCATTGCCATGGTAATCCGGGTGTCATCCACAAAGGAAGACACGGAGCTATGACTTACATCTCTGTCTATGTCAGAAATGAGGATAAGGAATAGAATGGGAGCGAGTACTGTGCCTTGTGGAACAGAGCTTTTTACCATGGCTGCCTGAGACTTTACTCTGTTTACTATTACTCTTTGTGTTCTGTTTGTCAGGAAGTTATAGATCCATCTACCAACTTTTCCTGTTATTCCTTTATCACACATTTTGTGTGCTATTACACCATCTGTATTTTGTTTATCCTCTACAGCATCCAGGACCTTGTCATAGTGGTCCAGTAGCTGGGACAGGCAGGAGTGACCTGCTCTAAACCCGTGTTGCCCTGGGTTGTGTAATTGATGGGTATCTAGGTGGTTGGTGATCAGAACCCTTTCAAAGACTTTTATGATATGGGCTGTTAGTGCTATCGGTCTGTAGTTCTTTACAGTTGCTTTACTGCCACCTTTGTGGAGTGGAGCTACATCATATTGGGACTTTAGTATCTCACTCATTTCTTGGCTGTCATCTGTGTCTGTCCCATCCCACCTAAGCAGGGGCCCAATACTGGATATTGTTTTTTCTTAGATTTCACATAAGAGAAGAAGTATTTTGAGTTTTTTAAATTTCTTTTATGGCTTTTAGTTCTTCCTGTGATTCTTGTCTCCTATAAGATTCCTTCAGCCTGAGTTCGACATTTGCAATTTCATTGACTAGTGCCTCCCTTCGCATTTCCGATATATTCGTCCCGCTAAGCAGCTCTGTGACTCTTCGCCTTCATCTGTATAGGGAGCGTCTCTCTCTTTCTAGTTTACATCTTCTCTTTCTTTTTCTTAATGGAATGTGTCTTGAGCAGATCTCAGGAACCACCGAATTCATTTTTTCAAGGCAAATGTTTGGATCCTTGTTGTTTAAGATATCTTCCCAGCTTGTTTCATTTAGGACATGGTTTACTTGATCACATTGCATGTTTTTGTTATTGAAATTGAATTTTGTGAAGAGACCTTCATGACTGCTCACATTTTGCTGGTCAGAAGCCCTGTGCATACATGTCTGTACCTCTATTATGTTGTGATCCGAGTGTATTTTCTTTGATACAGTTATATAACATATCAGATCGTTGTTGTTAGTGAAGATGAGGTCCAGCGTATTTTCTAGTCTTGTAGGCTCTACTATTTGCTGGTTTAAGGTGAATTTGGTGCAGAGATTAAATAGTTCGTGTGTGTGTGAATTTTCATCTGAGCTGCCTCCTGGGATGATCTCTGCTAAAAACATTGTTTGCTATACTCCTCCATTTTAGGTGTCTCAAGTTAAAGTCTCCTAGTTGTAAGATTTTTGGGGTAGGAGTTGGGAGATTTTCTATACAGTGGTAAATTTTCACAAGCTGCTCCTGGAATTGCTGGGAAGTTGCATCTGGAGGCTTGTATACCACCACACTATGCTTTATTATTACGCTAATATCAACTCTACGGCTTATTTACCTATCATAATTGATCTAATATGACGTAATAAACAATAAAAATAACATAAAAACATGGTAAATACTCCAGAATGAATAATAGTAATAATAATCATAGTAATAATAGAGGATATGAGATAAAAGTACCATCCTCCTACCCTTGTCTTGAGGGCTCATATTAAGAGAAAACGTAGCGGAGTGCACGGCTATGATATACTCTCGTTTTTGTTGATTATCTCTGAGGTTATTCATTTACATCTTAACATAGCAGCATTAATAACAATAGGAATGCAATGAATTTTACAGACAACATAAAAGAACCTCATAAAAGAACCCCAGTGGAAATAATTCACTTTGTCTGACTTTTTTTGGTTATCCTAGGTTCTCTACACATATGCTGCTATGTATAATAATCTATCTAACTGTATTTGTTGTTTGTTGGACTATCTTATTAAAACTTGGGCAATGTATGATGGAAAGATGCTTCTTAATGTACACCAAAAATGAAAGAAATCGAACAATAAATAACAGAGTTCACTTCTCAGCCATTAGCCACCCCTTAGCAGCATATTTTTGTATGGTTTTTATGTTTGTATTCTCACTTTTTTGTCTCATTTAATAGAATGGAAGATATATTACAGAAACACATATGATTTTGATTGGTTTTATGACGAAAAGTGCCTTGAAATTGAGCTCAAAGTAGCGGAAATGTTCGATTCTTTGCCGATGTTCAAGAGTCAGCAAATGACGTCACCGTCCAATATGTGTTCAACTGTCCAGTCTAATACACAGTCATGAATGGGTTGACATTATTTATACAATTATTACATAATGCAGTAGTTTGCATAACAGTAAATCTTCTATCATTTGTGTGAATAAGAATTCAAAATGGAAAGCAAGAGTAATATAAGAGAGGCCTGGAGATGTGACTAATGAACAGAGAAAATATTATTTTAGTGCCAGGAATGTCTGCATTGTTTATTCTGGACCCTGTTTTGAAATTGGCATTTTTTGAAATTTGTGTGAAATTGGCCAGATTGCCAATTTCTGACCACTTGTTTTGGTAGATGAAATAGGTGAATGGGCGGTTTCTTGTACTCAGTCGACAGAATAGAAGTACAGTGGAACCTTGAAAATCGAACGTACCAAATATCAAACGTTTCGAAAGTAAGACCATTTTTTCAGACAAACTGTGTACCAAAAATCGAACGCGTTTGAAATTTCGGACCACCGGGTACGGGACCTGTCTGCTGGCCCGCTCTGTCGGCATCCCCGCGCAGGCGCCGTGAGCAGTCTAGCTTTGTTTATGTTTGAGTGAACACTAACCTGCGCTCTCATTCACACATTTTACAATTATTTAATTGTGTTTAGTGCTTGTGGGGCTGTGAAATAAGCTGCTATGGGCCCAAAGAAACTTGCTAGCAGTACCCTTGTGGTAAAGAAAGTGAGAAACACCATAGATATGAAGAAGGAAATAATACAGAAGTATGAGATTGGTGTGAGACTTGTTGAGCTTGCCAGGATGTACTGAGGGCTGTGGACAGTTATTTTGTGAGACAGAAACAGACAGTTATTTTGTGAGACAGAAACAGACAGTTATTTTTTGAGACAGAAACAGACGACTGTGGACAGTTATTTTGTGAGACAAACAGACGACTGTGGAGTTATTTTGTGAGACAGAAACAGACGACTGTGGATTATTTTGTGAGACAGAAACAGACGACTGTGGACAGTTATTTTGTGAGACAGAAACAGATGACTGTGGAATTATTTTGTGAGACAGAAACAGACGACTGTGGACAGTTATTTTGTGAGACAAACAAACGACTGTGGAGTTATTTTGTGAGATAAACAGACGACTGTGGACAGTTATTTTGTGAGACAGAAACAGATGACTGTGGAGTTATTTTGTGAGACAAACATTGGACTGTAGACCGTTATTTTGTGAGACTGGGGTCCAGTGACTCTCAAGCTGGTCCTAGTGGCATTAAAATACAGAGAAGGGAAGCAACCCCAGAGAGGGCTTTGATACCAGAAGTCCTCATGGAGGGGGATTCTCCTTCCAAACAATAACCCCAACTCCGTCTCTCCTCCTCCCTATCTTCCAGATGCCATCACCAATCTTCAATAAAGGTAAGTAAAAACGTTATTTTATATTTTATATTATATGTATGTATTATTTTATATGTATGTTATTTTATGTGTATGTAAAACTGTAATTAATCTCTATAAAATGTATTTTTTGTGTGAATATTTTTGGGTTTCTGGAACACATTAATTGTATTTCCATTATTTCTTATGGGAAATATTGATTCGAATTTCAGACTTTTCGAAATTAGAACTAGCTCCTGGAATGGATTAAGTTCGATTTTTGAGGTTCCACTGTAAGTTTATTCAGGTATACACAAATACAGTTACATAGATTATCATACATAATTGCACATGTGTAGAGAACCAAGGATACCCCAAAAAAGTCAAAGTGACTTATTTCCATTGGGGTCCTTTAAGACTATCGTGTAGTCAGTGGGTTTTAACGGCTCTGGTGGCTAACGCTCTCGCTTCACACGGCGAGGGCCTGGGTTCGATTACCAGCCAGAGTAGAAACATTGGGCGTGTTTTTCCACCTGTTGTCTATGTTCCCCATCAGTAAAATGGGTACCTGGGTGTTAGTCGACTGGTGTGGGTCGCATCCTGGGACACTGACCTAATTTGCCTGACATGCTGAGCTTAACAAGAGGCTTTCTATATAGTAGTATGTCAGTTGTCATATGTTAGTACAGTAGTTGTTAAATATTATATTATTATAGCTAGCCATTTTGTATAACAAACCAGGAACAAGAACAGATCTTGCAAAAACCCTTGCAAGTTCTGTTCTTGCAAGAGTTGCACTGAAGCGAAGGTTCAGTGCAATGCTTGTATAAACCTTGCTGAATTTAAACAGCACTACAGAAGGAATACTAGCAAAATAGCTATGAGTTTAGTAGACTGAAATAATACAATGGGTCAAAAATAGGGCGTAAATTGGGTGAAATTGCCGATGCATAAATATCACCATTGGGTTAAGTGTATTTTAACCTAACCACTCTGTAATCCGGCAGTCACTAATTCAGCACTCTGCAGGTCCCTGTGATGCCAGATTTGTGATGACTGACCTGTACTGTATTTTATTTGTGTATGTATACAAGCAACTTTAGCAATTTTGCTATGATTCAAGAGACTAAGTATTTTTGTAGGTCTCAACTTCCATGCTTCCTAACTTTTTCTGTGTCCTTGAGATAGTCATGTCTTGGTCCTTGAAAAAAAGTAGCTTTAATATTATTAAAGACAAAAAGAAGTGAAAATTATAAAATAATTGGTTGCTGTTTAGTCATTTTAAGTTATTATGAAAACATCCTAAAAATCCATAATGAAAAATCTTGTGAAATACCAAAGATTAACAAACAATTATTTGATGAAAGGTTTTATACATTAATAATGATTGTCTTCATTATTTCAGGTTTTCTTGGATGGCACAACTTTGCTGGGGACAGATATTGCTGTAATAATTAATTTTACATCTCTTATGCTAAATGGTATGTACCAAAAACTTTAACTTAATATTAAGGAAATGACAGTGAATGTGCCTTTTTTGTGTGTGACCCTACCTTGTTATAGTAGATGGCATGGGAAGACTGACAAATTGGAGCTAATAACTGAGACACTCCATGGGGAAGTAGAAAAGAATTTTTCCTCTGTAAGTCATGGGTGTCGTAAGAGATGATTAAAATGCCGGGAGCAAGGGGCTGGTAACTCCTGCTCCTGTATAAATTGCCAAATTTAAAAAGAAAAATTTTCATTTTTCTGTTTTCATAAAAAAAATTTCATTTTTCTTTTTAGGTCACCCTGCCTTGGTGGAATACAGCTAGTTCACTGAAAAAAAAAAATAATGTTTTACTTACATAGCAGGCTTTTTCAAGTCTGATGAAATTTCCAGTTATGCTTGGGTTTATCACCCTACCTTGGTGGGTAACTGTTAATTAAAAAAAAAATATATTTAACTTGTTTCCCATCTTGACTGGAGGCAACACAGTACCTGAGAAAAAGGCAACTCGTGGAATTGGTGCACACAAGCAGAATAACATTAGCATTGTGGACCAGAGTTGCAAGTTTAAGAACTGTTTTCACAAACCTTGAGGCATAGAATCTTGACCACATACTTAATCCCTAAACGGTCCAAACGTATATATACATGTACATTTTTACTGTTAGCGCCCCAAATGTATATTTTTTTTTTTTTTTCAACAAGTCGGCCGTCTCCCACCGAGGCAGGGTGACCCAAAAAAGAAAGAAAATCCCCAAAAAGAAAATACTTTCATCATCATTCAACACTTTCACCACACTCACACATTATCACTGCTTTTGCAGAGGTGCTCAGAATACAACAGTTTAGAAGCATATACGTATAAAGATACACAACATATCCCTCCAAACTGCCAATATCCCAAACCCCTCCTTTAAGGTGCACGCATTGTACTTCCCATTTCCAGGACTCAAGTCCGACTATATGAAAATAACCGGTTTCCCTGAATCCCTTCACTAAATATTACCCTGCTCACACTCCAACAGATTGTCAGGTCCCAAGTATTATTCGCCTCCATTCACTCCTATCTAACACACTCATGCACACTTGCTGGAAATCCAAGCCCCTAGCCCACAAAACCTCCTTTACCCCCTCTTTCCAACCCTTTCGAGGACGACCCCTACCCCTCCTTCCTTCCCCTATAGATTTATATGCTTTCCATGTCATTCTACTTTGATCCATTCTCTCTAAATGACCAAACCACCTCAACAACCCCTCTTCTGCCCTCTGACTAATGCTTTTATTAACTCCACACCTTCTCCTAATTTCCACACTCCGAATTTTCTGCATAATATTTACACCACACATTGCCCTTAGACAGGACATCTCCACTGCCTCCAACCATCTCCTCGCTGCTGCATTTACCACCCAAGCTTCACATCCATATAAGAGTGTTGGTACTACTATACTTTCATACATTCCCTTCTTTGCCTCCATAGATAACGTTTTTTAACTCCACATATACCTCAACGCACCACTCACCTTTTTTCCCTCATCAATTCTATGATTAACCTCATCCTTCATAAATCCATCCGCCGACACGTCAACTCCCAAGTATCTGAAAACATTCACTTCTTCCATACTCCTCCTCCCCAATTTGATATCCAATTTTTCTTTATCTAAATCATTTGATACCCTCATCACCTTGCTCTTTTCTATGTTCACTTTCAACTTTCTACCTTTACACACATTCTCAAACTCATCCACTAACCTTTGCAATTTTTCTTTAGAATCTCCCATAAGCACAGTATCATCAGCAAAAAGTAACTGTGTCAATTCCCATTTTGAATTTGATTCCCCATAATTTAATCCCACCCCTCTCCCAAACACCCTAGCATTTACTTCTTTTTCAACCCCATCTATAAATATATTATACAACCATGGTGACATTACACATCCCTGTCTAAGACCTACTTTTACCGGGAAGTATTCTCCCTCTCTTCTACACGCCCTAACCTGAGCCTCACTATCCTCATAAAAGTTCTTTACAGCATTTAGTAACTTACCACCTATTCCATATACTTGCAACATCTGCCACATTGCTCCTCTATCCACTCTATCATATGCCTTTTCTAAATCCATAAATGCAATAAAAACTTCCCTACCTTTATCTAAATACTGTTCACATATATGCTTCAATGTAAACACTTGATCTACACATCCTCTACCCACTCTGAAGCCTCCCTGCTCATCCGCAATCCTACATTCTGTCTTACCTCTAATTCTTTCAATTATAACCCTACCATATACTTTTCCTGGTATACTCAGTAAACTTATTCCTCTATAATTTTTTACAATCTCTTTTGTCTCCTTTCCCTTTATATAAAGGGACTATACATGCTCTCTGCCAATCCCTAGGTACCTTCCCCTCTTTCATACATTTATTAAACAAAAGTACCAACCACTCCAACACTATATCCCCCCCTGCTTTTAACATTTCTGTCATGATCCCATCAGTTCCAGCTGCTTTACCCCCTTTCATTCTACGTAATGCCTCACGTACCTCCTGCCTCCAGATGTGTCACGATTGGCCTGAGATGCCTGGTCATCATAAAATGGGTCTTAACGCTCGGTGTGCACAATTATAAAAATATCTGGGACCACTTAGTACCTTGTGGGAGCACTAGTTAACCCTTTCAGGGTTTCCAATGTACTAGTACGGCTTACGTGCCAGGGTTTTTGATGTACTAGTATGCGTAAATTCCAGCGCCATCAAATCTAGCGAGAGAAAGCTGGTAGGCCTATATATGAAAGAATAGGTCTTATGTGGTCAGTGTGCACAGTATAAAAAAAAATCCTACAGCACACATTGCATAATGAGAAAAAAAAAAACTCCCACCGTGTTTTTGGTTTAAAGCAGCGACTTTGCACTGTATTTTCGTATGGTATTTATGGTTGTATTCTAGTTTTCCTGATCTCATTTTATAGAATGGAAGACATATTACAGAAATTGAGATGATTTTGATTGGTTTCACAATGAAAAGTACATTGAAATTGAGCTCAAAGTAGCAGAAATGTTTGATTTTTGCCAAAGTTTGAAAGTAAACAAATCATGTCATGCGTCCAATACACGTCAACTGGTGAGTCTAATATTCTTTCACAAGTGCACTGATATTATTTATACCATTTCTAGACTAATGCAGTAGTCTGCATAACAGTAAATCTTCTATTTTTTGTGAGAATAAAAATTAAAAATGGAAAGCAAAAGAGATGTAAGAGGGGCCTGGGGATGTGACTGATGAACAGAGAAAATGTTATTTTAGTGCCAGGAATGTCTGTCTTGTTTATTCTGGACCCTGTTTGGAAATTGGCATCTTTTGATATTTGTGTGAAATTGACAAAATTGCCAATTTCTGACCACTTTATTGGATAGTTGAAATTGGTAAATGGGTGATTTCTTGTACTCATTAGATAGAAAAAAATGGAGTTCTAGCAAAATAGTTATGATTTTTGTCGACTAGTACACTGGAATTGGCCAAAAATAGGGCTCAAAGTGGGCGAAATCACCGATGCGTAAACATCGTCGAGACCACTAACTTTGCGAGAGCATAATTCCATAAGTTTTCCATCAAATTTCATACTTTTGGTGTCATGATCGGGAAAAGATTCTCTATCATTTCATAAGATAAATTTTTTTTTTTTTCCAAAAATTTTTGACCCTGAGAACAAGTTTAGGAGAGGGCCTCTCGATCCTGAAAGGGTTAAATTGAGTGCCAACTAGAGCAAGCAGCGTGGAAAACACCAAGGATTCACTGATGTCATATTAATGCTCCCCTTTTAAGAGGAAAGTGATGTTGACCCTAAGTTTAGTGGCTTTGAGGTGGATGTGGCCACAGATGGTTTCGGAAATATCAAAAACCTCGATAATAGCCCATGTGGAACATTTGTGCAACATCCTTTCAGAATGTCTTATAATCTATGCCCTAAGTGTCTGTCTCTGTCTATCTCTGTCTCACAGGTACACACAGATACAATTATACATAGTGTAAATTATCGAGGATAGCCAAAAAAATCCAGAGTGCTATACTAAACTTGTAGATATAATGTGTAAGCATGACTGGCAAATACGTATTTACACTTGCTCAGGAACCAGATGTGACAGACAGGCAGACAGACAGACATGTTTATGTGTAACAGTGAAAACAAATAAAGCAAGGCAGTGTGTACTCATCAGATGTCACCACTGTCATTAGTGGAGTGATAAGATAAGACGATGCTCACCAAATGTCACCACTGTCAGCAGTGGAGTGATAAGATAAGACAAGACAGTGACACACTCTTACATAATGCTTCAAGGGAACTTTTAATTATTATTATTATTATTATGCACTATCATTATCATTATTATTATTATTATTATTATTATTATTATTATTATTATTATTTTTATTATTATTGTTATTATTATTATGCACTATCATAAAATGTCAGTCCACTGCTTACCCTGTCAGCAGATAAGTGACACTCATCATAAACACCATGATTCAAGAAGTTTCATATGTACTCCAGCATGTTTAAAACATTGGTGGGACCTATAAATACTTTGTATATATTCGTAGACAGTAGTAAATGATCAAGGCAGGTGTAAATGTTCACCTGTCAGTGTGTTTGTGACACTCTTGAGTACAATTTCAGTACCTAATATTAATGTCAGAACAAATATTGGCTATGAAATCACAGGAACTACTATAAATTGTAATTATCAGAACATAAAAATTATATAAAATAATATAAAAACAAGGAAAAAAGGTACATCAGCAACACTTTTGCAAGTGGCAGGACTCGATGTTGCTGTCAGGTGAGCATCCAGTGACAGCTTCGTGGCCTCATATCTCGGTAAGTACTGACCCTAAATTTTTTGCTTTATCCTATAACACTTAGAAAAATGTGCTCTTTATTTATATAAAAACGATATTTTTTTTTTTCAAAATATTCGGGGCACTGGGCGAGAGA